GTGTTTATATAATCACAGGTGTTAATATAATTACAGGTGTTCATATAATCACAGGTGTTTATATAATTACAGGTGTTTATATAATCACAGGTGTTTATATAATCACAGGTGTTTATATAATTACAGGTGTTCATATAATTACAGGTGTTCATACAGTCACGGGTGTTTATATAATCACACCTTAGTACTGTAGACAGCCTCACTACACTACACCTCAGTACTGTAGACAGCATCAGTACTGTAGACAGCCAAGTAAACAAACAGGAAATTGAGAGGTAATGCGGCTGGAGCGGCAGACAGTGTTTACTCTTGAATCAGTTTATACACCCGCCAGCACCAGCAGATAGTCTACGTGTTTACCCTAAATTATGAACTTAATTGGATGTGTGTTGGTGTCTGAAGCTTCTAAGGATTCGGTGCCTAAAGCTTTGAGGGGTTCAAAAGCTTCAGTAGCTGTGAGGCTTTGGGAGGTTTAAAAGATTCAGTGGCTGTGAGGCTTTGGGAGGTTTAAAAGCTTCAGTAGCTGTGAGGCTTCGAGAGGTTCAAAAGATTCAGTGGCTGTGAGGCTTTGGGAGGTTTAAATATTCAGTGGCTGTGAGGCTTCAGTGGCTGTGAGGTGGTTAATTCAAGGCTTTGGGAGGAGAGAGCTGTGAGGCTTCAGAAGGGCTGTGAGGCTTTGGGAGGTTTAAAAGATTCAGTGGCTGTGAGGCTTTGGGAGGTTTAAAAGCTTCAGTAGCTGTGAGGCTTCGAGAGGTTCAAAAGATTCAGTGGCTGTGAGGCTTTGGGAGGTTTAAAAGCTTCAGTAGCTGTGAGGCTTCGAGAGGTTCAAAAGATTCAGTGGCTGTGAGGCTTCTAGAGGTCCGAAAGATTCAGTGGCTGTGAGGCTTTGGGAGGTTTAAAAGCTTCAGTAGCTGTGAGGCTTCTAGAGGTCCGAAAGCTTCAATAGCATACGAACAATCAGCCAGTAAGATTATTTCCTCTTGATCTTTCAAAAGTCTTTATTTAGTGCAGGAATAAAGACCTAGACTAAGGTACAGAGCTCTTTACATAGAGGTCAGCAGGTGATCAGTTGACAGGAAATAATTACAAAACCTCCTGACGGCGACCAGCTACTGAAGGAGGGAAAATATAGACATAGGTTCCTCCCATACACAATAGAATACAAATGTTTATATATCTTCAGTGATTATATGTCTCGTTAACGTCTTAGTGCTAGAGCTTGTGTAATCGAACCCTACTCAATAGGATCGTCCAGTTGTCACTTAGTGTTAGTGGCATCAGCAACGACTGGTGTGTGTGTGTGTGTGTGTGTGTGTGTGTGTTTTATGCATTTCCTCAGTTTTGAAGATAAAGTAAAATTTTGTTCCATTAATATTTCAATCCTGGAAAATAATTATTATGAAATATTATTAATTTTGTGTAGACTTTCACTATACTGTAGAGGTGATGAATATATTGTGGGTATAATTTTGTTTGGTTTTTCGATATATAAATAGTGCAAATGTTATAAGTAATTCAGACTATAAAGACATACATGTTAATTATTGACTAAATCCTTAATTATTCACCATTAATGATATTATTTTAGGAATGAGGATTATTGGATTTGTCCAATTACGGTACGGCGTTTTGATCCACCTAACCTGACCTAACCTAGAAACAACACTAACTGCATAGGCTAAGTGAGAGAGAGAGAGAGAGAGAGAGAGAGAGAGAGAGAGAGAGTACTTTAATTTTTCGTTATTTTCTTAGCATGTACTGTACTGTCCTCGTGAGCGCCCCTTCACTTCACCACTTACAGAATATTTACACAGTCCACAGTATGCAAATAGCCTGACGGTTCTGCCAAAACAGTTATGTAAATTTAGTTCACTAAGTAAGAACTGCTTTACCGGCCACCACTTAGAACTGCACTGCTCACGGCTCGATGGAAACTGTTCTGGTACCACTGGAAATAGTTTTTTTTCTCATGGGGTAATAGTTAGCCAGTGCAGTTGTATTACTGTCCTGTCTTCCTGGGTTATTTTTCTATACTGGGTCATATAGGTCGTTAACTCAAGGTGGTGGTAGTGGTATTGTTGTTGTTGTTGTGGTGATAATTTGTACACCATCAACCACAGACTGACACCATCAACCACCTGCTTAGTCCTCGTGGCAGGTGTTAAGTGTACCTGCCATCAAGGTAACAAACTCCTACCATCTGTCTGCCGGTTATCACGTCTGCCAGCATTACTCATCTCTTCACCTGCCACCTGGTGTACTGGTGAATCATTCCTTTATTTAGCTGATCGGAAGGCTAGATAAAATATATATCTGTTCGGTAAAGCTAACCTAACCTGACCTAACCTAACCTAACCTAACCTAGCCTAGCCTAACCTAACCTAACCTAGCCTAGCCTAGCCTAACCTAACCTAACCTAACCTAACCTAGTAATTGATGAGGTATTATGTTCGTTAACTACACTAGAGGGTAGGTCATCACATAGTCATCCTTCCTAACATATTTTACAAGTGCCAGTCAGTCAGTCAGTCAGTCAGTCAGAAAGATGGGAGGTTGTCTGTCAGTTGTTATTATAGGTCAAACTGTCAGTAAATAAATCAACCAAACAGCAGCAGACTATGACTCGGACTGACAGACGAACTGATGTAAGATTATACTGTGTGTGTGTGTGTGTGTGTGTGTGTGTGTGTGTGTGTGTGTGTGTGTGTGTGTACAAAACGCAGATATCGCCTGACGTAATCACTCTTAATATATTCATAAATTAAAATTAGGGGTAATTAGTTTTCAAAGCGAGGTATAATTTCAGCTGTATTATTTATTTGCACCATTTATATTAGGACATTACTGGGGGACATAAAACATAAATTATATCATTAATTTTTGTTTATAATTAAAGTTGTCAATGGAGTGCTGCTCTGTTGTTTGTCATCTGTAATATAAATATGCAATTATTCCCCTTCCAAGTGAATGGTGATGAGTGAATTAGCTGTTGAATGCTGGTGGAACATTCCTTGGGTGGTCTAGCTTATCTGTCTGGTATCACAGCAAGGAAAAAAACTTATTGGCACTGGGAAAAAAAAATATATATTGACTTTTTGAGAGTTGTCGTTGGGAGCCTTGTTAAGTGAGTAGTGTATGATGGCCTCCAACACCCCTTCTCACCACCTCCCATCCCAAGTGACTGTATTAAATTATCTGGGTAAATAATATCCCTGTGAGAGTTAAAGGACAAATAATTTCCCAATGTGAATAACAATTTGTGACTAAGACAAAAGAAAACTGTTTTGATAAGTTACTCTTATCAGTTAATACCAGCATGCATAGAGTCATCTGACGCACTTAAATACGTCCATTGTAGCTGAAGGAGAATTAAACATGACGGTGTTAAATTTGTGGACACATTTAACAGTATGATGATTTAGCCCCTTGAGTATGATGATTTAACCCCTTGAGTGTGATGATTTAACCCCTTGAGTGTGATGATTTAGCCCCTTGAGTATGATGATTTAACCCCTTGAGTGTGATGATTTAACCCCTTGAGTATGATGATTTAACCCCTTGAGTGTGATGATTTAACCCCTTGAGTGTGATGATTTAGCCCCTTGAGTGTGATGATTTAGCCCCTTGAGTATGATGATTTAACCCCTTGAGTATGATGATTTAACCCCTTGAGTGTGATGATTTAACCCCTTGAGTATGATGATTTAACCCCTTGAGCATGATGATTTAACCCCTTGAGTATGATGATTTAACCCCTTGAGTATGATGAATTAACCCCTTGAGCATGTTGATTTAACCCCTTGAGTATGATGATTTAACCCCTTGAGTATGGTGACACACGGTTGAAATCCTTAGATTAAACGGAATGCATAACTCTTTCCTCTCATTTCACAAAGTTAAGCCCAAAATTCTCACTTTACAGAAACGTTGGTAAGTGCAGGTGACTCGTTCTCCTCATTGTGTCTCTAATACATTGTTTGAGAGTTAATTAAAATACCTGGCTTTTCACCTTGATCACCTCGGCACGCCTCCATACCTGTAAACTTATACCTGTGCGGGTTTTTTTTTTCTTGATTATTTTACCTGGGGTTTCTGAAGTGTTACCTGCGCGTTACCTGAGGCCTAAATAGTCTTACCCGAGTCATACACTGGCGATATACACTGCCAGAATGACACTAACCGGTCTCTACGTGGAGAGTATATGTATGTAGCCTGTCTGGCACTCACACAGAACCTGATCTAACATGGAAACTCTCGCACTGGTAAAAAAAAAAATGCCGTCGTCAGATCCCGTAAAAGTGACAGGGAAATTAATCTTGACGCGGTACGACCGACTCTGTAATCTCGTTCACACAAAGACCCGGACCAGCTCACCTCTCTTCGCCTGGCTACACTCTCTGGATAGCGGCTCACTACAAAGCTTTGATCTGTGTTGCATATAAGCCGAAAAGTTCAGCAGTGTGTGTGTGTGTGTGTGTGTGTGTGTGTGTGTGTGTGTAAATCACCATAGTTCAGAGGAATTGCAACTCTGAAGTATTTCCCAGCAAGGAACAGAGGTTAATTGAGCCGATGCTGTGTGTTACAAGTTATTAAGGTTGTATCGTTCTTGATGGAAGTGATATTGTCGAGGATTATACATGTAGTAAAATATTCACTGTACTCTCTCTCTCTCTCTCTCTTATCTCTCTCTCTCTCTATCTCTCTCTCTCTCTCTCTCTCTCTCTCTCTCTCTCTCTCTCTCTCTCTCTCTCTCTCTCTCTCTCTCTCTCTTTTTCTCTCTCTCTCTCTATCTCTCTCTCTCTACTGTAGAAACACTTTATCTTCCTAAACATAATGAATTAACCTCTTTAAGTATGATAACTTAACCCCTTGAGTATGATGATTTAACCATTTGAATAATATATCTTAATTCCTATTCCCTTTTAGTAAGATAATTAGGTAAATAAGAGTTTAAGGTATCGTATACATAAGGTTATTCTTCTAAATAATAATAATAATAATACTTTGCCTGAATCTTTACTATATGTCAGGAAAATATAAGACATTTATAAGACTCTTGTGCATATTTTATTAACAACTATAGTGAGCCTTTTGTAAACAATTAAGTACTTTCATGTTGGTAGTACGTTGTGCACTTTTTTCCTACATTACCTTCTTCATTGTTTCATTCGTCTTCTCTTCTTCTATCGCTTCCTTCATTGGTTCCTATTCCACTTCCTTCATTTCTCTCAGTAATAATTTCCTTCAGTACCTCTAACGCATCTCTTACACCCTTTCATTGCTTCAACCTCTACCTTCACCTCCTCCTCAATCAGTACCCCCCACAACACCTCCTCCTTCATCAGTACCCCCCACAGCACCTCCTGCTTCACCTCCTCCTCAATCAGTACCCCCCACAACACCTCCTCCTTCACCTCCTCCTCAATCAGTACCCCCACAACACCTCCTCCTCCACCTCCTCCTCAATCAGTACCCCCCCCAACACCTCCTCCTTCACCGTCCACTAGTCGAGGACCACCCTGTAGTTGCTAACATCAACAACATTGTGTGAGGGGTCCATTTCGGCGTGAGGTACTAAGGGGCCTACGATAGGAGGCAGTATTAGTGGTGGGGCGTGAGATACTGGAGTGGTCCGGCTCCTGCTTCCGGCTCCACTGAAGATATCTGGAGGGAAAAACATGGAGGTCAGAGGAGGGTTTAGCTGGTAGGTGAGGTCAGTTAGATGTGAGGTCAAACAGTCAGGTGTGTTTGTGTGTGTGTGTCAAAGGAGGTTCAGATGTGAGGTCAGGATTGAGATAAGAGGTCAAGAAGGATTTACAGAGAAGAGGTGGTCAGCTGTGTCAAGTAGGGTCGCCTGTAAAGGGTGAAAGGAGGTCATTTCTGAGGTTAAACGAGAAAACAAACAATTAATTAAGATTATGACGTATAATGTATAATGGACCATCTGAAGATTGATCCCTTAGTTTATTTCACCTAAAAATTAACCACCCTAGAGGTATCATAACTTAACTTAACCTAACCTAACCTAACCTAAGAAAATGTTGAAATTCCAAGCAATGTCACTAACTCCCGGGAATGGTGCTAAGTGTCGGAGCAACTCACTGCGACACCCTTAAAAAAAAGTTGTTCCCAGTTCGCACACACACACACACACACACACACACACACACACACTAACCATAAAGGAACCATACACATTATAAAACACTTGTGGTAATCATAAGGTCATTCAAGGTGGTAAGATGAACGTCAGAAGTAAAATGTCATATGATAAAGGTGTTGTGATAAACAGGTGTAAACTTCACTCACAAGAAACAGAGAAGAAAGAAAGACCTCGGCTACAGGTACAAAACTCATGGACAACAACTGACTGTAACTGTTAAGGATTGAGTTACAGTTTCCTTGTTCTTCATCCTGTTACTGTAGCTGATTACTTGTTAAATGGCCTCACTTCTTTAAAGATCCTAACCTAACCTAACCTAACCTCAACTAACCAAACCTAATCCAGTACAGATAGATTCCAATCGTAATAGAACCCAACCACACCATTAGAAATAGGCTCTAATCCTAATTGATAGATTCCATTTCAAATAGAACCCAACATAACTCTTATCTATGAGGCCCAGTTATAATGGTCGAAAGTCTAACCATTAGAAGTGAGAACTCTAGTCCTAATGGGCCCCAGTACTAATAGAACCTAATCCTAATAGGTCCTTCTAATGGTTCCCTATTCTAAAGGGGATCAGTCCTGCTAGATAGGTTTGGTTGGTACGTCTTAGGACTGGACCTAGTGTGGGACCTCGTACACCTACAGCCGCCATTAACACTTAAACCCGCCTGTAACTCCCCAAAGACAACAAACAAAGGAAACTTGATACTTTACTTGAGAAGAAATCACCGACGCCCTCAAAGAAGTTACCCACGCCCTCCCCGACGTTCTCAACGAAGTCACCGACGGCGTCTAAGACAGGTGCTGGTTTGGCCTCCGTGAGCGTGGTGGCCGCCAGCAGGAAGAGGCCTAGCGTCAGCACTGTAGCCGTCGGTGTCATCTGTGGAATATGTGAGCTTGGTTAGGAGAGAGAGAGAGAGAGAGAGAGAGAGAGAGAGAGAGAGAGTTTTTCTGATAAATGTGTTTGTCTTCACGTTTTAATTTTTTCCTTTTTTTGTCGGAGGAGGCGGGAGGAGGCTGGCTACCTTGATATTCCTGCTACGACACTGATTTTTACCTCATTCTGATCATCTAGTTTTTGGGGGGGCTGGACTGAGACCTTTGCAACATTTTCTAACCTTCCATAAACAGACATCACTTGTTTATCAATAAACCCGAAGAGTAACATTTTACAGTTTTTGTACCAAGTATATCAAGTGACATTTTGGTGCTAAAGAAAATAATTATATGTTATTAGTTATTTTCTGAGGCAATTTAAAGCTATAGGTCACTTGGGAATATTGACAAAACCAAGAGCTGTTTTTTTTTATATAATGTGTTTTTTCATGATCTGTTGGGCTGATGACGTCTGTGTGTGTTTTTATAATCTTGACTTACTTAACTCTATTGTATATTCGCTTTTATTAATAGTCTACGATATATTTCATCTTGCGTCGATGTCTTAGATGTGTCTTATATCGAATTATCAAGTGGTTTATTATGAAAAAGAAAATGAACAAATATTGGAGCCTTGTCAGTAGCATTAAGTGACCAGAGAGCACTGTAAGATCATGAGGGTAGACTTTCCTATTATGATATTAAGACCCACACACACACACACACACACACACACACACACACACACACACACACAGGAAACTAACCCCGATCATTGGAAAACACCGAAGAAAAATAACACTACCTTCTTAAGTTCGTTTTAATACCAGACACCAATAAACGCAGGCAGCTATAGTGAACTCTCTCTCTCTCTCTCTCTCTCTCTCTCTCTCTCTCCGATATGAAAGGGGGTTAAATTCGACCCTGGAGGAGGAATTCTTGTCCTCACTACGGCGAGTTGTCTACAATGGTCAGCTCTGGTTCAAGGGTAGGAACTATGTGACCAGTTTAAAAGTGAATCTGGTGACTCTTGTGAAGTGTTGTGTTGTGGTGTGGTGTGCTGGTGTTGTGTTGTGCTGTTGTGTTGTTGTATTGTGTTGTTGTATTGTGTTGTGTTGTGCTGTTGTATTGTGTTGTGTGAAAAAATCCACTGTAGCCTACACCACTTTTATCTCATTACCAACAACAGTGAGAAAAACAAAAACATTACCAACAACAGTGAGAAAAACAAAAACATTACCAACAACAGTGAACAAACAAATACATTAATAAACATCAAAAATATAACCACAATATAGGTGTCTAATTTGTGGTGTTGTTCTTGTAAAAAAAAAAAATTCACATTAACCTTACTTTTCCCAGTCACTTCCTAACACACCACAGAAAGGACCTAGAAGTTAATCCAATTGTAGGTTCCTCTGATAACTAACTACGCATCCCTCGTTACTCAAAATCTATAGAATGTTAAAAAAAATAATATTCATCTTTGCCAAAAACCATGAAAAATATCAAAAATAGAGAGAGAGAGAGAGAGAATATCTTAACTAGGTGTAATTACTTAACACAGTTGAGAGATAAAATATTGAATACTTTATAGAGTCGTGTAATTTAAGTGAAGAGTATTTAGGTAAGAAAGTCTCACTGTTATTTTTGTGATATTTTTTTCCTTGCTGTTTTACTTTTTTTTCACTGTTTTAAGTTTATTTTCGAGGCTGTTTTAGGTTTTTTCGTCACTTAAGGTTTTTTTTTTGTTTTAGACACTGTTTTACGTTTTCTTCGACGCTGTTTTACGTTTTCTTCGACGCTGTTTTACGTTTTCTTCGTTGCCATCTAGTTACGTACTGTACATTCTCACGCCTTGGCAAACGTGGAATTATCATTGTATGAGAATCTTAACCAATGTTTATTTTCCATTTAGTTTTTCCGACAGTGTTTGTAAGAGGAGGTTCTGTTCTACGGATCAAAACTCCAAATTAGGTTAGGTTAGTTAGTTATTTATCCGAATCCACAAATATGTACTAATTTCGACGTGTAATGCCAGAGAGAATCAACAACCTAATCACACTGGTAACGTGGGTTGATTTTGTTCCTCTTGAAGGCGTTACTCTTGAAGGCGTTACTTTTGAAGGCGTTACTCTTGAAGGCGTTACTCTTGAAGGAACACTCACACTTTAAACAACAACACTGACGAAGGTGACAAGCCGTCGAGTAAAACAATAAAAAAATAAAAAAATTAACCCAGTTACCCTCACTCCTCCCTCTCCCCCCCCCCTCCACACACACACACACTCCCTCCTCCACACACACACTCCCTCCTCCACACACACACTCCCTCCTCCACACATACACTCCCTCCTCCACACACTTTAAGCATTATCATTTGCACTAGAGGTGAAAAACTGTAAAATATCCACGGACGAAAAAAATAAAAACTAGAGCAGCAACGATACTCACTGTGCGGTGACTGGCGTGGTACTCGGGGGTTCTCTGTGCTTCACTCCCCTTTATAGGTTCAGCTTCCCACACCTTCTGTTTTTATCCTGGGATGCCAAATGTCATCATCACCGACCCACCGTCTTGTTGAGAAATCCCCTTCTTGTAAAAACAAAGACTATCGTTGCATTATCTCTCTTCCTGTTACTTATACCCTGAGCTGTAGTGACTTATAAATACTATTTCACGTATTATATACTTTTCTTCAATATATTAGTGCAAAATAACTACTTAAATGCGAGTCAGTTTAATATTTTTTTTGTGGAGGCGAGAAGCAGTTTACAGGAACTGGGGGTCGGATCCTCAAACACGTTGGCCTTCGATAACACACTAGACAAACACTGGGCAGATCTGGATATCCATTACGAGTAGACAGAGCTCGGGTTAAAGATTGTCAAGCTACCAACCACACAAATGAAACGTAACAAGATTAACACCCGGATGTGAACGTGTCCAACCTTCGTTCAGAACACTTGCCGGTAACCTTAGGAAGAAGGTATATATAATTATATCTTATGCGTTATTGTTTTTTATCTCTGTCATAACATTATTATTATATCACTTTATTCATTGCTAGATTTTCATAATAATAATACAGTCAGGTGGGTACAGGAGCCTAGGGTTACAGAACACAAAGAGAACAGTAAACTGACCTTGAGAGGCTAGGTAGTGTGGCCGGCTCGTCACGTTAGACCACACCTCGGTGAGAGGAGGGTGGCTGGCCAAACTAGTTTTTACATCACAGATTCTTGCGTAAATTACAAGTGAGTTAATTTTTTACATCGGTTTTTTCTTTGGTTGTTTTTTGTTTGAGAGAGAGATATTATTTTACTTATTCTTATATATAATTCTTTCAATCCCTTATTAGTCGTTTAATTATGATCATTAGCCCACTGAGTATGATATTTTAACCCCTTAGAATGATGAATTAGTGTGATATCTTAATCCCCATAGAATGATAACCCCCTAAGAAAAATGTACTCATATGATTATGTTAACTCCTTGAAAATGATGAGTACGATAACTTAAATTGCTGAGTACGATTACTTGACCCGGTGAATGAGGTGACTGAAATACCTGGCGAATCTTCAGGTGTACTAAGCCGGGGGGAGGGGGGCAGGGGCAATCAGGTGAACTAAGCCGGGGGGAGGGGGGGGGCGAATCTTCAGGTGATTATTATTGATATTAAACCCGTTATAATATTTTTAGTCTATAAGAGAATAAATGAATAAGAACATAAAATAAACATAAGTAACGAGACGAATAAATGAATGAAATATAAGATAAAACAAGATAGATAACCAATAAAGTAAAAGGTAATTAACAAAGGAATGAATAAATAACATGAATGCAGCATAAAGTAAATAATAAAATTAACTCCAAGTGACTAAGTAAGGTAGGATGAATACTTAAGTAACTCAATAAACTTGTAAGTAAATGCAAGTAAATGTCGCCTTTTGTGTCAGTCGAGTAGTGGTGGGTGTCCCTGGGGTGAGGTGCCAAATACTCAGTAAAGATGATATTAACACGGTGAGTCCCCAGTTGTGAGAAGACTTTACGACTATCCACTGAAACACACGCAGTCTGACGAGGGCTTAAACCGGTGTCGTGAAAAGGCAAAAGCATATGACTTTTTTTTCAAACACGAATCAAACGAACGACTCATTTCGGTAAGGATTCGAACCTGTATCGTAAGCTCGAATTGAGGCACCGAGTGAGGATTAGAACCTGTATCGTAAATTATTGAGTTCAAATTATGTTTTTACGCATAAACACCATCAAACACAGGATTCGAATCTTTATTACGTAAATGTCAAGGTCAGATGTATCAGTTGTTACGTACCAACTCCATGAAACGCATTTTAGAGAAGGTTCGACTCAGTCTCGTAAAATGTCAAGGTGAGCTTCATAAGTGAGAGAACAAGGACAGATGAAAAGGTAAGTAGAAGGAAGGATAATAATGAATAATACCAGAAATAGGAAAATAAAGGATGTTTTTGTATAGTGAAGAACAGGGTGAATGAGATTTATGGATATTAAGTAAATAAACAGGACAAATCAGGTAATAATAATAATAATAATAATACAATGGTCAATAACAAAGGCTAATAACGTTCACATAACTCTTCCTTGGCAACAATTCATGTACAGTTTTTACTAGATGGCAACTGGGGATTATTTCCTCCTTATCCACTCTGTATTCCGGACTCGGTAATACGGACTCATAAACATTCACTCGATAATACGGACTCCTAAACATCCACTCGGTAATACGGACTCATAAACATTCACTCGATAATACGGACTCCACCACAACAGCATCAGGAAGTCATAAGAACCTCGCCTCAAGGATGTAATGCTGCTTTCGTCACGCCCGATATGGCAACAGTAGAACAAAAACAGTGATGCCAGATTAAGTTTAGCTAATTTAAGTTAGTTCGAACTACATGACATACGCACCCTGGACAAACCAAATATAACCAGTATATTTGGGGGGTGGGCAGGAAGGGGCACACTAGGTATTTTTCAGTGTGATACTGGGTAGAGAGGGAGAGAGGGGGGGGGGGAGAGGAAAGTGTGAGTAGGAGAGCAGTCAACAGTGAGAAATGATAGAGCTAATAATAATAATTCCAATGTTGTCTAAATCAATATTATAAATACTATATAAACATCGGTAAGAACGTACAATATATTAAACCCGCATCAAAAAAATAGAAAAATTATAAATATAAGCTGAAATAAACCCTAGAAATGTAATTATAATGAGTGAATAATAGAAAAACGTGTATTATAAAGTTAGGAGAGTTAGTCCTTAAATTGACTTCGTTTTCTATGAAGCCCAACGCGTCGATTCAGATTCCTTTGTTAATTCGTAAATCCCGTTCCCTGCCAGAGGTTAAGGGGTGTGTTAGGTTAATATAGAGGGTTTTGTACTTAAATTGGGATATTTTCGGGAGAGATAAGGGATTTTGCACTTAATTCTGTTTTAGGTTTTAGGTTATGTGAGTATTAAGGACGGGTGTATCGTGGAAATTGTTTTATGGTAGTCCAGGTAAATGGCATCAGTCCACCATTGAAAATCCTTAAAATCAAGTAAATGTAAAAAAAAATATGTATTTACGGTAAACAATGTAAATTTAACATAGCTTCAAGGATAACGAGATCTCATAAGTTTTATTTATCGTTAAGAAATTCCAGTTTGAATGACCCAGAAAGATTTAAATGTCCGTAAATACAACTTTTTTCAGAGGCAGGAAGAGTATAAATAGATGTATCTCACCTGTAGAGAAAGACAAGAGACGTTTTAATATAAGGGTTTAGATACTCTTAAGGTTTGAGCCAGGAGTATAAGAGAAGGATTACCTGAAGATTAACTACCCTTACGCTACCTGTGGGTTAGGTTAGGTTTAGTGGGATTTCAACCTTATCGACATAGTGTTTTGATGTAATGATGGTGTTTTTTTTTGTGTGTTTTTTTTTATGGGACGGGAGACTTTAATACGACAATCAGTAGTAATCAACAGGTGGTTTTTTTCATGAGTGAAAAAAAACAGTATTAAAACGTAAACAACATTTAATATTTACAGGTCTGTCAACAACAGCAGCATAAACAGCACCACATACAGTAACAGCATTAAGGACCAGTAACAGCAGCATAAACACAGCACCACATACAGTAACAGCATCAGGAACCAGTAAACAACACAGAGTGAGACAATAACACTATCACCAGGTGTGTTCTTACCTCATCTTACCTGTCCTGGAGGTCAACAGTTTGCTCAATAAGGACTTACCTCCCCCTCCTTCCCTCCCATGACCTCTTCTTCTTACTCCTTCCCCTCACCCCATTCCCTCCCCACACTCCTCCCTCTCAACTTCCTCCCTTTACCCTCTCCCCTCACCCCTACCTCTGCCCCCTACCCCTTGGGTTGCTTCTGGACAACACTCGGACATGACTGACTTGTTAGCATTACGGGAGAGAATGACTAGTAGTTATAAATGATATGAAGTGGGTAATGCGCATGTGTGCTCTCTCTCTCTCTCTCTCTCTCCACACACACACACACATGCATTACCCACTTCATATCACTTATAACTACCAGTCATTCTCTCCCGTAATGCTAACAAGTCAGTCATGGCCGAGTGTTGTCCAGAAGCAACTTAGAGACCAAGAGAGTTGAGTGTCTTGTCCGCCTCAAGTCCCTCGTCCCGTGCCGGATATTGCCTCAACACACGGACTCAATCTAAAGACAATCCACGGGTGTTTGCATCTCATCCTCTCCTGAATATTCATACATGTAAATTTGTATATACTGGAGAGAGACCAGCTAGTAGTGCCCCCGTGTTACACCATACATAAACACGACCAAGGAATCAATTGTCAGTGATTATTCTTCTTCTTTGTTTGTCTCACTCCTTTAAGATTGTTTACCGAAGAGTGATGTATTATGTTAATTACACATTTTTACTGGAGTGTTTACACGTGTAGATCAATGTAGAATGAACTGTAGATGTATAGCACCAGTATTAACCTAACCTAACTTAACCTTACATACAATATATTTACCTTACTTAACTTAACCTTACATACAATATATTTACCTTACTTAACTTAACCTTACATACAATATATTAACCTAACCTAACCGTGGCGTTAACTTGAATAAAATACCTCAGGACCACACTCCCCCCTTAAACGACACTTAATTCACAGAAACGAGTTAAAGTTATCAGTTAATACTAAGGTTGTTGTCTCGATCTGTTGTAGTTAGGCCTCTTAAAATGTCTATGCTAAGCTTCTCTCAGGGATATACTGGTGCTGGGAGGAACCGAGGTGAGGTGGGATTACCTAAGTGCTCACAGCGGCATACCTAACAGTGTTGAATATAGAGAGAAATGCTTGCATGTGTAATCACCTGTGGCATCAAATATTTAAGGCGGCACACTGACCTGAATGTGAGTTAAACACCTAAATATTTCCCTAAAACGAGAAAACACACACACACACACACACACACACACACACACACAGTCAAAACAAAAGCTATTAAAGATTCTCAG